GGTTTAGCGTTTAGGGTTTAGGATCTCAGGTTTACGGTTTAGGCTGGTCCATACCCAACCGAAACTTCGTTTCCTACAAGAAAATACATGAGTCGAGGGGCTGTTCTGCTTCTGCAGCGATTCGAGCCTGGCCGGCTTCTTTTTGGGCCGACTCTTCGCGGTTTATGGATGTTGGGGTTCACCCTAAACCCTAAACCTGGTTCTATGTGCACCTAAGTGGCAATTTCAGACAGTCCGCGACCCTGATACGTACGCAGAACCCTGCACCGCTCATCCGAGATGAGAACCCGCCGGCCTGAAAAACAACTAAAACCCCAACCGCCTCATTCACTTATGACAGTCTTATGCAACCCTCGCAGAACACTAAACATATTATAGGGAAAAAAATATCGTTTTCCCCTATAATATGTTTGGAACACTGTGGGTTTCAGGGTCTCCAGCCCAAGGCTTTCGGAAGTCGGCTCTTCGGCTAAATGCGGTGCTTGGGGTTGGGGGGTTTAGGGTTTGGGGTATTTATCGTTTCTTGACTAATGTAGGGGCCTTTAAAAATAGAACAGGGTTTTGGGGTATACTATAGCTATAGCAAAATGGTTTGATTAGGCAACTTTAGGGCCCCTATAGTATAAAGCCCTGCCGTCGGGCCCCTGGACAGCCGAGGGAGCTTCGGGGTTAAGCGTCCTTAGAGATTGAACTTCATGAGACCCCGCAAACGGACGCCTAGCTTCAGCTGTTAGGGTTTTTAGGGCTTTGGGTTTAGGGTTTAAGGGCTTCGGGTTTAGGGCTTTGGGTTTAGGACCTAGGGTTTGGGGTATTAGGGTTTCGGGATTTGGGTTGAATTGCTGCCGAGGTTCAGCTCTGCTAACGTGTCTGCTACCTTGGCCGCACTCACAATGCCATGCAAGAACCTCTACGATGCAGTCTCAAGATCACAACTTCGAAACCGCAAGCCACCAACCCTCGACCCTCGACCGCATTTTCCATAATGGCAGTTTGCATGTGACTTAATCAAAGAATTCAACGCTCCCAGCGGTCCCTGGCGCTGCCCACTTCAAGCAGTGGCACCATTGCGCACCACATCTGCGAGTCCGGGTACAGCAGGGGGATTCCGATGGTTCACTATACACCCTTGTTATGGCACCTACTCTGGATAGAAGCTCGAAGGAGCGCCGAGACCCTCAGCCATAGACGCTAAAGCCCCTAAACCTCCCAAAAAACCGCATCCCTGAAATCCGTTCTGATTAAAATAGAAGAACCCCTGAACCCTAAACCCGTTGAAAAATGCACGAAGCATTCAAGAATCAAAAAATGCAAACTGATCTTCCCAGCTGCAGGGTGCTCGAGCGGATCTGCTTCAGCAAGTAAGACCTTGAAGGAGAAAGACTGGAGCGGTTTAGGGCTTGAGAATGAGGCTTTAGAGTTGAGCCCTAAACCCTAAACCCTAAACCCTCAACCCTAAACCCCAAACCCTAAACCCTAAATCCTCAACCCTAAACCCTAAACCCTATACCCTAAACCCTAAACCCAGGGGTTGGGATTGGAGTCTCAAGTTTCGGATGGCCCGTCGCTCAGGATTCAGAGTCCAGGGTTTTGGCTTCTAGGGGCTTAGGGTTTAGGGTTTAGGGTTTAGGGTTTAGGGTTTAGGGTTTAGGGTTTAGGGTTTAGGGTTTAGGGTTTAGGGCTAGGCTTTCAGGATTTGGGCTTTACGGTTTCGGGTTTTGGGTTTTGGGTTTAGGGTGCAAGGCCCGAGGCTGCGGGTTTAATTATTGCTAGGTTCCTGAGTGACACCTGAAAAATAAGGGTACCTTGTTTTCTGTTCTTCACTATTGATAAGGGAACCGTACAATAAAAAGGGCAAAAGGGTACTACTCAGGAACCTAGATTGCATTGTAGCCGATCACTGCTCTCAACCACTTGGAGACCCGGCAACCCCAAATATCGGAAGGTGCCAAAGGCACCTTGAAACCCGAAATGAAACCGGAAAGCCCCAAAAAACCCTAAACCCAGAAATCCTATGACCCAATCTGCGCCTTGCTCACGCCTTCAGCAGTGGCGCCCTCCTTTGCCACCTCGCCGCAGCCTCTGAACCGTTTCGACCCAGAGACTCCAATACCCCTTAATTAAGGAATATACCTTAAATTAAAGTAGGATCCCTAATATGATTTGAGGTATATTCCTTAACATCTTCTTCATCAAGAGCATCACACTCCGCTGCACCCGCATCCGTTTTCCTCATCAACCCGACCATCACCACCAGCATCCTCCACATTTTCCTCACCATGATCATGACTGCCTTCTTCATGTCGACCGGCTCATCTTTTCAAAGCTACCACGGCCATCACCATCATCATATACATCATCAACAACAACGTAATGATTACCATCATCACCACGGACAGTCGATCATCACCCCAACATGAGCACTGGCACCAACAACACCATCATGGCAATCATCACAAGATACACGGCCACGGCTCTTACCGACAGCATCGCAGAAGCAGCCGTACTCAAGATTGCAGAAGTGATAGCATCAATGTCCAGAATGATGATCTTACAGCTTCTTGTCTACAGTCCATCTCCATCGCCATCTTCCTGTGATCATGATGCTGATGATGTGTCTTCACCATGTCGCAAGTTTTCGTTGCCAACCTACTAAGGCAGTCGCAGTAGATGAGGAGGACTTCGACGACATGTACACCTGTTTGTCCATCTTTGTTCTTGACACTGACTGCGACCTCGAAAAAGGTCATCCAGTGGATGGGAAGAAACCTGTAACGGCGTTGCCAGCCGGGATGAGTAAATAGGCAAAACAAGCGAGACTTCTTAGTTTAGGATTGTAGGTTACCGTAAGTCGTTCATGCTGAATCAGTCATCCTGCAAGGCACGGCTCGTACACCTTTCAGGAGGTATCCGCGCCTTCAAGAACGAGGCATGAGGGGGCACTGAACCCGGAATGCTCAGTTCACAAGCCAAAACCTCTAATCCTAGACCCTAAACCCCTAAATCCTAAACCCTAAACCCCTGAACCCTAAACCCGAAACCCTAAACCGTCGAACAACCCGGCTCAAGCACCCTGCGATTTCTAGTCGTACGACAGGCGCCTTTACCCGCAACGAGGAGGTCGACGCTGGTGCAGCCCGGCAGCTTCGACCTGATCTTCTTACTCACCCTGGGTATATGGGCAGTTTTCTAAATTAGGGTCCCTTTTAGGGTCTTTTTTATAAGGGTGCCGTATTCTATTGGGGGCCTAAAAAGGGATCCTAATTTAGAAAACTACCCATATGACGGTGATGACTGTCATGTGTAGCTACTTCCATTATGATGATGATAATGATGGTGATGGTGATGATGGTGGTGATGATGGTGATGATGGGGATGATGGGGATGATGGTGAGTATTACGACAATGAGGGCTAAGTCTTTCTGCCGCGCAAGATACCTCACTTATGCAGGGCTCCGGCCACGAGGGCAAACCTTGTTTTACTGCAGGCGATGCAACAGGTGCTGCACTATGCGAGCTAGGATTAGGGGGACCCTTGGGGATATAGACCCTCTCAAGAAGGTCCCTTTTAAGAGAGCCCAAAGTGGGGTTCAGAAGGGGTCCCCTTTAAGGGGTACCTCTAATAATACTACCTACACTAAGCTAGTAAGTTTGGGACCAACTAGGACGTACGGCATCATGTTCTTCAGGGTCTGCATGGCCATTAGCTACAAGTCTTGCGATTCATCCAGTGTCAGCGCGTCCAGGTAGCATCGCAGCGTGCGCAACGGGCGCAAACATACGTAAGCCCCCTCAGCCCCCCTATCCCCGACGTCATCGGCGAAGCCCTGAGTGAGATGTCCTAGAACCTAGACCCTCAAAACCCAAAACCCTTGGCCCTAAACCGTAGGGTTTAGGGTTTAGGGTTTAGGGCCGTATACCCTAGACCGTAGGCGGTAAACCATAGACCCTAAAAAACCCAAACTGGGGAACTTCTGCGTTGAGCTCGCTCCGGCCGACAACGCACGCAGCAGATAGCCCTATTAAGGGCTTCTGGTAGTGTAGTGTAGTGTATTGGGTTTAGGGTTGCGGGCTTCGGGTCGCGTAGGGTGTTGGGTTTAGGGTTTTAGGGTTGTGTAGTAGGGTAATTCCTGGGTTAGGGTTTAGGGTTTCAGGTTGTGTAGGGTACTGGGTTTGGGTTTGCTATGTTCGAGCTTAGGGTCTAGGGCTTTCAAACTACCTTTTCATGAAGCAACATACCTAGAGCCACCGACGCTTAAGTAAAAAGCTAAAGCCAAAAGCCACGAAAAAAACGCTCAAGGACCTAAGACCCAAGAGGCTAGGTTCCGCGCTGCTCAGGTATGCCTGCACCCCAGAAGCCCCTGGACTGGGCTCAAGTCCCAAGGGCTCGAGCATCACGAAACCTTAAAAGGGTTTAGGGTTTGGGGTTTAGGGTTCAGGGTTTAGGGTTTAGGGTTTAGGGTTTAGGGTTTAGGGTTTAGGGTTTAGGCCCCGGCGCAGGCCTTTCGGGTTTGGGGCTCTGAATCCTGATTCGAGGAGCCCAAGACCACGAAAGCTAAAGACAAATGGAGCCCTTTCAACATCGCCACAGGGCCAAGCCGGTATGGTTCGGTTCTGAGGATCTAAGGTTCGGTTTGAGGTTTGAGGGTTTAGAGTTTAGGGTTGAGGGTTTGGGGTTTAGGTTTGAGGGTTTAGGGTCCGCTTGGTTAGTTTACGGTTCTGTTTCTTTCATGTCTGTAGGTCATTAGCCATTCTCGATGAGATCCAGGCGCGGCTGTGACAGCATGCAGCGTGGCCTGCCGCAGTTCAAAAGTTGAGGGATGCGGCCCTAAACCCTAGACTGCAGGTAGATGGGGATGAAGAGTCTGGGCATGCCTGGCCCAGCGACACCAACATCCATGAACTCAGGAACTGACCCTGCATGATCTTAAAGACGCATCCTTGACTTAGGGACTTTGGGCGTCTCTGGTTCCGAACTGACCTTCCGGCCATCACTGCTTATGCTAACTCGCAACACTTCTGTGGTTGTGGCTAGCTTTGCCGGCTCCGGTCGTGATGATGATGGTGCTCATGTTGACGATGGTGATGATGATGATGGTGATGATGATGATGATGATGATGATGATGATGATACTGATGATGATGATGATGGTGATGGTGATGGTGATGGTGATGACGATGATGATGATGGTGATGGTGGTGGTAACGATGATGATGATGATAATGATGATGGTGATGGTGATGGTGATGGTGATGGTGATGGTGATGGTGATGGTGATGGTGATGGTGATGCTGATGGTGATGATGGTGATGGTGATGGTGATGGTGATGGTGATGGTGATGGTGATGATGATGGTGCTGATGGTGTTGGTGATGGTGTTGGTGATGGTGATGATGATGATGATGATGATGATGACGATGGTGATGATGGAAGCCCCGCGGCTCACAGCAAGCGAGCCCTACTTGTGGTTTTGGTCTTTGTTGTTTCGGGGTCCTCGGGTTGCTTCGGCGAAGCGTATGGAAGATGACATGGACGACATGCTGCAGGCCGAGCTGGAGGCAGAGTCGAGCATGGAGCGTACACCCTGGAATGAGGCCGATGGTCCGACTCCTGCGCACCTTCTTGTGCCTAGGGGCCCTCCTCCTCCTGTTCCAGTTGGGGGTTGGCCTGCGCCGAGCTCGCACAGGAGTGCAGATGATGGACTCACACCTGCAGTTGCCTCGGACAGTGACCCCCACCCCAGTCAGCGATGGCCTGTGCTTCAAGAGCGAGATGAGCACGGTGACATGGTCACCACGCATGTGCAGGGTCCACATCTGCCCAGTGGACGCTTTGAGGACAGCTCTTCGCACTCCTCTGGTGGCTCCGACCTGCGGGCCCTCACCAGTGATGGCGACGACGACGGCGATGCAGCCTCGGATGGTGAAGCGGCTCACTCTGACACGTCTTGGACCTGGAGTGACAACAGAGTGGTGGGTGGCAAAGTGGCTGCCCTACGGCGACAGCTTTCTCGAATGGCCTGGGTTGGTGTCCGGGACATGGCTCGCCAAAAGCTCACGGGAGACAGGCTGGCCAGGTGGGTGGACTACGAGCACGATGCCACCCACAATCGGGTACCACTTCGGCGTGCCGCCCGTGATGATGCATGAGAAATGGCTCCTCCGCCCAGCTTGTCGGCTGCACGGTCGCCCCAGGAGCTACTGTGCACACTCCTTCCAGACCCTTAATTTTCTGCACCCCTACGCCCCAACCCGACCCCTAACTCATCAACGAAGACGGCGTCTCCGCAGGATGCGAGCCGCATCTGCACTCACAGACTCGCAAGCGCATCGCACGTAGGCCCCCCCCCCGCCACGGGGGGTAGGATGCTTAGTACCCGTAAGTAAACTACCTTGCAAAGCCGAGCCGGTCCCAAATCCGGCATCTACCTGCATACCGCGCTGCTTCTGCTTTTGCATGCACAGGTAGACGGGGCGAGGGTTGCACCTGGTTCCGCGTCAGGTGCTCTACCTGTTCCTCTGCCGCCACGTGAAGGTATCCGAACAGGGAAGACTCGCGGAGAGGCGCCTTCACGAGCAGCTTCAGGGGGCTACCCCAAACATGTTAAGAGGGCCTATAAAAGGGCATGTGGTAGGGCAGCTAGATCAGTCTGTGGCGGGACGTGGTATAGAGGGCGCTGGCATGAGAGTCAAACCCTGCAAGCCCTGGCCATACAACCCGAGCACCTCACCACCCGTTGTAAGCGTAGACGCCATCCAGAACATAGAGTCAGCGCTACAGATCTCCATGTGCTCTCGTGGAATACCAGTGGACTTGGTGGGGGGCTGTTTCAGGAATTTCAGGCCTGGCTCGCGACGGCCGATCACCCAGCGTATAAGCTGGTTATCCTGCAGGAAACACATTGGCACCAAACACCGGATTTTTGCAGTGGGCCATGGCAGTGTGTGCACTCATCTGGTCACACTGCGGAAGCCAAGCCCGACAGGTCAAGCGGTCTTTTGGTCATGCTGCACCGGGCTGCCTTCCACGAGGTGGCCGCGCAAGAGCTGCACCCCGGTAGATTGCTTCTATAGTGAGGGCAGCGTATAAGCCTACTGCGCTTCCGGTCACCGTCCTTGCAGTTTACCAACACGTGTGGCGCACACATCTGACAACTGCAGAGAACCTCCGGCTGCGGGAGGAAATTCTGCAATCCATTCGGGAAGTTCTAAGACGCACGCCAACTAGGCATCATGTTATCCTTGCCGGGGATTTTAACGGTTGCCTTAGTCCGGAACCTCCAGCTGTGGGGCATGCAGCCCCTTGTGCCCGGCATGACAATCATTGCAGTACTCTGCAGGCGCTGCTGGTTGAATTTGGGTTAACGGCGCTTAACACTTGGCACGCCAAGCCTTGGGCCACCTACCACTGCAATGGCAATGAGAGCCAGATAGATTACGTCATAACCCGAGCCTCAGACTCCAGAGGGGCTGCAAAATACTCCAAGCCTCTTACACTTTTTCCTGTAGCGGGCTGGCGGCAGGCAGGGTGCTGGCCGATACATGCCACTGCGGGCCTTCTGCCTTACCGGTCGTGTGCACCCAAGCTTCCGGATAAGACTGCAGCCTGCAACGTGCAGGCACTTCAGCAAGCTGTAGCTTCGCAGTCGCCTGCTGCCCAGGCTCTTCAGCGGGATGTCGCTGAGCAACTGGCTCGCTGCACCGTGCAGGACCCTGCCGTAGCACAACTTCAGATCAACAAAGTCCTGCTCCAGGCTGCATGCGAGCACTTCCCTATACAGCCCAGGGAGGACCACCGTGTCAGTGCCCAGCCTGAGTACCGTGCCAGTGCCAAGCACACCTGGCGTTTGTATGCGCACATGAAGGCACACGCCCATCCGACATTGCCCGTCATTTGGTTGAAGTGGCGGGCAGCTATCCGATTCAGGCAAGCCTCGCTAGCCCTGCGGGCCCAAAGCCGACAGCTCAAGAAGCAGTTTCTTCTGACACAGGTGGAGCAAGCGGCCGCAGCTGCAGCCCGAGGCGATCAGAGGTCACTCTATCAGGTTGTTCGGCGACTCACGCCCCGCTCGCACCGAGGTATTTCCCGTATGCTCGGGCCAGATGGCAAGCTGCTCACAGCCTCCCAGGAACTCGAGGCCATAGTCCGATATGGTCGTCGCACTTTTGCTGCATTGCCAGACCAGCTTCAGTTGTGCAGTACGGCTCATAACCTGATCATTTCAGACGAAGCCTTGGCCACCGAGCTCGCCCTGCGCAAGGCTGTCCCAACCCACGTAGCACCGACTGCGGCATGGAAATTGTGCCGCACCTCCATCAGCCAGGTGCTTGGTCCTTCCTTGCGGCGACACTTCCAGGCCCCGGGACAGAGGCCACTTCAAGGGTACTGGAAAGACTGTTACATCACGTGGATCCCTAAACCCAATAAGAAGCCGCTCTCTGTCTCCGACCTCCGGCCTATCGGCCTTCAGTGTCCGTCCAGCAAGGCACTTGCTGGTGCCCTCAAAAGACAGTTACTGACTGCCCTCGAACCGGCACTAGCTCAGCTACCACAATTTGCTTACACCAAGAATAGGGGTACAGCAGACGCACTCCTTCGGGTGCATGCACACTTCGCAGAGGTTGCCGTTCTCCTTGAGCAAAATGTTGTTAATCGCTTTCAACAACATCGGGGCAAGCGAGCTGGCCGCTGCGTTGGGGGATGTAGCCTCTCGTTAGACTTGACAAAAGCCTTCGATGGGGTTTGTCGGCCTTCAGTGTACGAGGCGCTTAGGGCACACGGGGTGGCAGCAGAGGTCATCAATGCAGTCCAGCAGCTACACTTCAGGGCGGAGTATCATTACTCCGTTGGGGCGCACAAGGGCGGCACCAGCACCACCAATGGGATCAAGCAGGGATGCAAAATAGCTCCATACTTGTGGTGTTACTTCACGACAGCTTTCCTTGAGCGTCTCACCACTGCACGTGATCTGCATTGGGTCCTTGCCACGTTGACTCTTTTTGCTGATGATGTATGGGGCAACTGGGTCATTCGGCAGGTCTCGGACTTCACCCGAGCCATGCAGGACCTCGAGCTCCTACTGACCACCTTGGAGGCTATGCATCTACAGATCAACTTCAAGAAGACAGCCATTCTGCTTAAACTTGTTGGTCGGGATGCTGAACGCGTGCTGTTGCAGCATACGTCCTATCAGGCGGGACAGCGGCACCTCCACCTGCAGGTCTCGGGCAGGCACTGTGTCATACCCATTCGGGAACAACATGAGTATCTAGGCACTGTTGTCTCTTACACCGGCAGAGCAACGCGGCAATGTCAGGAAACGCCAGAAGGCGGCACAAGGCCGGCAGCAAGCCATTCGGCGCGCCCTCAACGGTCAGCACGCTCTCTCAGCCGCGCACAGGGTGAGCCTCTGGCGCTCCTGTGTCTACACCAGTGCCTTGTACTCTCTTCCCTTTGTCGGCTGCCACGAGCGCAGCTTGGAGGCTCTGGACCGTGCCCTGGTCAAGCACCTCCGCGCCATACTCAGGATTCCTGCTCACATCAGTCACATCACGAACACGGAGGTTTGGGAGCAAGCTAAGGTTGATCGGCCGCTTGTGGCGATTCTTCGACAGCTCAAAGCTCATGTTGACAAGCGTCGGGCACAGTATCAGAAGGCCCCGGACATAACCACTGAGGCCAAAGCACTGAACTATGCCAGTGATCTGATCCGACTTTTTGAGTCCCTCCTGCGGCGGGAGACCAGTGCCTCGCCCCAGTCCGGTAGCATGATGGCCTCCTCCGCGCACGTCCCCTGTCCTGACTGTGATAAGAGTTTTACTACCCTAAATGCCATGCGCATTCACTGTAAGCTGCAGCATGGCTACCTGCCTGAACACCCTAGGATTCCTACCCGCTTCGATGCTGCCATGCACTCGGTAGGTGGGCTTCCGGAATGCAAGTTGTGTCGACGGCGCTTCTTTAGGTGGCAGCAGCTACAGAAACATATCGAGACAGGGGCCTGTTCGGCCCTAGGAGGAGACAGTCTAATCCGGCACCCCGTCCGGGAGGAAGAGCAGGAACGCATGCAAAAGGACGCGGCTGCGAGTGCGGAGTCGCATGCATGCTCTGATGTGGTTGACAAACCGGAGCATGATTTGCCCTTGGTGCAACGTCCCTCCTTCCTCAAGGCACAAGCTCGCTGGGAATCATGGGCACTCAACTCCACGGCTCGAGCCCAGCTGCAGTCACACTGCGTACTGTGCAACATGTGGCAAGCTGACTCAAAGCATGTCAAGCAGCACTACCATCGCACACATGCACCCTCTCTTGGAGATCTCACTGATAGGGTAGCTGCACTCTGCCTCACATTCAAAGCCCAGCTCTCTAGGGGACGAGCTTGCTTGTTTTGCCGCACCAGTGTCGGAGCGCCCAAGAGGCACTCCCAACAATGCACAGTACTCTTTCAGCTTTGTCTCGCCCATCTGTACGTTCAGGACCACCTGGAGCCACATGACCGAGACAGTGACGGCACCACCCACGGTGGAGAACCTCGAGGCGGACATCTTTCGTTACTGTTTTCCCAGCGGTGTCAATCCGACTCCAGCCGGCCCAGCTGACTCTCCCTCCCAAAGGCGGCCGAGCCAAGCGCCCGCGCCCAGAGTTCCAGAGCCGCCGCCAGGGCTACCAGGATCAGACGGCCCGTTATACACATCAGCCGCCTCCCACCCTTCCCGAACATGTTCGTCTCCTCAGCAAGGTAGTGCTTCAGCAGGCGGATGCTCTTCAGCTTCTGCAGCTGGACCGCGGACTGATGATGTTCCTGAAGCAAGACGCTCGCAGCATCCTGCCAGCTATGATGAGTATGACCAAGGAATGGCGGCAGAAGAAGGAGCAAAACGATCCGGCCCTTACTTCGCCCCTTCGCACCCTTCTCCTTGCCAATCTGATCAAGGAGCTCCTTCAAAGATTACAGACTATTTCAGCAACTCCCGAAGGTCGCAAGTCGGTGCACTGGATGGACGACAACGGAGATTGGTACTACATGAAATGGTGCCACACAACGAAGCAGTTGCTGACGGACAAATCCCGGCCAGCCCTACAACACACGGAGGCGGTCCGCCTACTCAACATGCTGCACTCCAACATGAAGGGCGAGATCATACAGAACTTCCACAGCACCCAAACGATGCAGAGTCTGGAGGAGCAGGGGGCCACATCAGCAGCCTTCAAGCTGGAGGTCAATCTAAGAGGGCAGGAGGAACAGGAAGTGCACGAAGCCCTGATCCGCTTCGTCAACAACTCCGCGACGGGATTGATCGGCATGTCTCTCCGGAGAGAATCGGCAGCGAGGACCCATGGTGCAGCAGCTGGCCAAGCTGACTTATGGCAGCTAGGGGGGTCCGCAGCCTCTGACGCGAACCCGGTCCCTCCGGCCGGCGACGCGCTGATAGGGCCTACGCCTCAGCATCAGCCGCCTCTCTTTCGTCTGCTTAATCCAGGTAATCAGTGTTACTTGAATGCTGCAGTGTACAGCCTCTGGCTTGCCACACGTGCTGCACCGGCCTCCGTGACCCTGCCTCAGGTGCTGAGGGTTAACAAGACTGGGTGCTTTCGGGCGCGTCAGCTTCTGGGGTTCCATCTTCTTGCCTGGCCACAGCCCGAGCGACAGCACGAGCTTCTGGCGCATCTGCTGCCAAAACTAGCAGCCCCACTGGCCACAGGCGGGGTTGAAGCCAGACGACTGCTGTCAGCAGGCAGAGGACGCTTGATACGCCAATCACTCAGTGCATTGTGCTTCCTGCTCCGCCGCGCCACACGGGTGACCTGCAGGATTTACTTCTTTTCTGGCATCGCCAAGACGCGATGCATGCACTCGATGCACTGTACCCATGGCTGTACCTTCAGCTGCCGAGGTTTGAGTGGGCGGGCCACCGAGCCCACAAAACCACCCAAGCCTATCACTTCGCCGACACGCTGCAGGTACCTGTGTATCAGAACGCACATGACCTCGAAGTGCGGTGGGTGCCTTACCGAACCTGCTGCTATGTGCAACATCATGGAGCCGCCCCGAACTCAGGCCATTACACAGTGATTCAGGCCAATCCGAGCCAACCGTGGCTGCTAGACGATGCAAAAGATCCGCGGCCCGTAAATGCACACATGTATGATCATGCTTGTCGCAACATGTATGTAGTGGTGCTCACTCTTGGTGGTACCACAGCCCTCTACAGCTCTACCGAACCTTCATCTGCCTCCGTGGGACATGCCGACTCCCATCTATGTGCCGATCAACGATCTGCCCAGACAGGAAATGGACTGGCATGCAGCGCAGCTGTTCTTACTCGAGTACCAGCTGCGCCAGATCGCGGCGGACATGGCGAGTCTCAATCAGATCTACCAGGACCTTCAGCATCGTGTCCGAATGCTCGAGATGCGCACTGACCACTTCCTGTTTCCCCGACGTCACAACAAGTGTGCCGTGGAAAAGCAGATCGTTTGGTTCGATGAGCTTGATGAGTGACTGAGTTACTCGTCAAAGGCACTTCGGTGCAAGCTGCTCGAAAACGAGCATTAGTGCTGCTTCCTAGAGAAGCCGTCCATGCAAAGCATGCGATGTAACGGTGCCCGCTAGACCGGACTTCCTGGCTGCGTGAGAAGAAAAGATGGTGATGATGGTGGTGGTGATGATTGCTCTCGCTCTCGCCTTTGCGGGCTACTACCTACTAGCTACCTGCGGCTACAGTAGCATGCTGGACTTTTTTGCAGTCGCTGTGGGGCTGCGAGAAGCTCAATGCACGAAGTTCTCAGAGTTTCGCAACTTTTGAGACGGGCATCATGGCTGAGTCTGGCCAGTACCGGATAGTTTTGGGGATTGGGGCTTAGGGGTTTAGGGATTCCATGGAATTGCGGGGTTCTTGGATTTGATTTTTCGGGCTCAAGGTTTAAGATGTCTCGGCTCGAAGTAGTTTGCTGCTTGTTCGGCTCTCGCCATTCTTGCAGTTACTGCTACACCAGACCCCAGCTAGTACTGCACTCGTGCCATTGCTAGCGCCCGCGCTCCATGTGGTCGCGACTTCTCGTGTACTGCGGCCTGTACGCGGGACCCTGAGCGCGGCCTCAGGTACCTTACAGCTGCTCTGAGCAGCCGCTGCTGGTGGACGTGTTCAGTGGAGCGATTCTTACCTACGGTTTTTCGGCTATTTCCCGGCCCAGTACACTTCCGGACTTTGGTCTTGCCGATCTACGTGACTTTCCAGCTGCCTGTGCCTACAGTCAGCTCCTTGGTTTTGCTGCTGGCTCGTCGGCTGTTTCAGCCTCTAGCCTTGCAAGTCGACGACCGGGCTCAGCGCTGGCGTCCTTTAAAGAGTACGCCGGCACTGATCCTTGTTCGCTGTGGCCTTTGCTGTCACTTTCCTTCAAGCTCTGCTCTGGCTCACCTAGTGGCGCTGTTGTGGCTTACCCGCGAGGTGAAGGGATGATCTGATGCATTGCCTCTCGGCCCTGCAGTAGGTCCTTCCTTCTGTTTTGGTGAGGCAGTCGAGCATGCGTAGTTTGTGCTCCTGCCCTCTGGCATTGTAGGGTGTCTTCGCTTTGCTCCCTTGTCGCTCGCGCTTCGGCTCGCTGGGCGGCAGGGCTTCTGCCTCTGAGTTTCACTCCTGTGGTGTGTTCGCATGGTGCGGGCATGTCCCTTCCTATTGCGAGCTCGCCCAAGGCGTCTCGCCGTCCCTTTCCAACTTTCCCGCAGGTTTGTTGAGCACCCTTGAGTGCTCCTAAACCCTAAACCCCAAACCCTAAACCCCAAATCCCAAACCCTCAACCCCAAACCCTAAACCCCAAACCCTAAACCCTAAACCCTACCCCTTCCTCCGGTGGCATCTTGGTCTGGGCTTTGCCATGCTAGGGTCTGCAAGCTGCCCGCTTTTCCAGGGACGCCCCTTCTTCTCACTCCTTTCTTGGGTGTGGGAACCTGTGCTTTTCGTATTGAAAACCCTAAATCCTAAACCCTAAACGCTAAACTCTAAACCCTAAACCCCTAAACCACTAAACCCCAAACCCTAAACCCTAGGACCCTTGGGACCTCTGCGCTTCCGAAGTGCAGTGAAGCTCAAGGTTTAGAGGTTAGGGCCGAGGCTCCCGGATTTGGGGTTCCGGGCGGGGGGGGCTGTGAGGTTGAGGGTTTAGGCTTTAGGATTTCGGGTTTAGGCTTTAGGGTTTCGGGTTTAGGGTATAGGCTTTAGGATTTAGGGTTCTGGAGCTGCCACCGCCCAGCCTTGTTCAAGGTCTGGTTGTTGTGTTCTGCAAGCAGCAGGGTGGCATAGCCTGGGACCAAACGCGGGGATGTAATCAGTAAGGGCCTGTGTGGCCGACATGGGAACTATGGCATGTTCCTTAAGGCTCGAGGAGTTGGGGCCTCAACAACAGCAAAAGAGTTGAAGTGGTATCCCTATCTTCTTGGTTTCTGAAAAAGGGCCAAAATTAAAAGCCTTGGAACCCTATCCAGAATCCAACAGGAAACCTATAGTCTTCTAGAACCCCGGACACTAGCTAAACCTTACACCCTAAACCCTAACAGTAAGCCAGCCGTACAGTACCCGAGCCCTACAGCCCCATGAGAACTTCTTCGAAGCCTAAAACATCCCTCCAAAGCCTCATGTAATGTAGGGGCCTTAATACTTAGAAGAGGGTTTTGGGGCCCATTATATAATAATTATAATAAGGGGCCCCCAAAATAGTATTGGAAATTTTTTGGGCCCCTATAGTACCCTAAAGTCCCATTGAACAGAACACTAATGCCTCCCAATACTAAAACCCACTATGACTTACATGTAGCGCTGAATGAAATGGAATAATATCCCCTTGTAGCCCCTTCATATTTATACTACACGCTACAAAACTAAACTGTAACATGCCCGAACCCTCTTTAAAAAAGACTATATCCTAAACCCTAAAACCCTACTTAAATACCTCCAAACAATAACATGAACCCCTAAGCCCTAATCCCTACAAAGCCCAGGCCTCGCAATCGCGGCACCGCCACGGAGCCGACACGGCGCAGGCCCAAGCAGGCCATCACCCTGGAGTTCAATGAGGCTTTATAGTGGTGTCTATAGGGTTTTCGGGTTTAGGGTTCAGTCAAGGTTTCGATAATAGGTATAGGTTTCTATAGGGTTTTCGGGTTTAAGCTTTAAATTCTGACATGAGTTTCTTTAATAGGACTTTGGGTAGGGTATAGAGTTGTGAGTATAGGTTTCTAATTTCTAAAGGGTTTAGGGTTTCTTTAATTTGAGGCACTACAGTGGGTTTTTATTGGTTTTCTGCAGGTTGCTATAAGGCTTCCCATGCGGTTGATGGGTGTTCGATAAGATTTTCTAGGGTTTCTACAGCGTTTTAGGCACTACCTTAAGGACCCTGAAGTATGGGACTTCTGGGTATGTTCCAGATCATGGGCGATGCAGGATTCGCATCATCAACCGTAGGGCACTTAGGGCTTCAATCTTCTTTGACCAGGCACCTGTGCAGTAACACTTAACACCAAGGACTAGTGGTTTAGGGTCCAGGTTTAGGGCATGTTGGCCGAGCCCTTCCTTACTGTGGGACTGCTACTTCAGAGGGGGAAGTTCATATCCCAAAAGTGTTGCTTAGTTCCAGACTCTGAACTCTTGTTTAGGGTTTAGGGCTTAGGGTTTATGGTCAACGGAGCCCATAAACATGCCAGTCTCTTCGCGCAGGGAATGATGGGGTATCCATTGGACAAGCTACGCTAACCTTCCAATGTTTATGTGCCGAACCCTGATTCCCAGCCCTAACCCCCCTCAACACATGAACTGCAATAATGCAAACCAGAAACAGCGCCAAGACCAGTGCCAATAGTTCATGATCAGTAAAGGGAAATTACAATCATCACCGTCATCATACTTGTAATCATAATCATGATCATAATAATGACAAAGACAAAACCTAAAATGAAACTAAGAAGAAGAGTCACTTGTAGTATAACTCTTATCATTCTACTATTGAAATATGGCTGCTACTGCTGTAATCACAATGATACAGCTCTAGGAAATAGTGATAACTATGGCAATAATGACAAAGATGATGAAAGAAATAAACCATTAGAAAAGATATCACTACTGATCATTCAGACCTCTATATCAAATAAAAACCCCAGTGACCCGAAACTCAGAGCCCCAATAGCCTTGAGTCTAGGCGAAACCTGCTGTAAACTCTAAACACCAACCTCAATCCCGACCCTATACCCCAAACCCGCCTAAACTCTCAACCCAAACCCTGAACCTTAGACCCTGAACCCTATCCCTTACCTTTGGACACGGGAGGTGGCTGCGGACGGACGGGAGGAGTGCACTGAGCCGAACGCAGGTGTAGGACTCTTGAAGACCCTAAGGGTTTAGGGTTTAGGGTTTAGACCCCAAGGGCGTTGGGCTTTTAGGAACTTAAAAAGGTTGAAGCCATCGGCCTCTAGTATGGGCCCTTAACCCTGGGATCCTTATACACCTACTATATACCCTATATGTACCCTTCAGGGTCCCTAGAAAGTGCTAAGGGTCCACATTAGGGGCCCCTACTTCTAACTCCAACCTTAGAGAATTGAATATGTAGAGTTTCGGGTTTAGGGCGTTCAGGGTTTCGGGTTCAGGGTTTAGGGCTTGGGGCTTTTAGGGTTTTGGCTTTAGGGGTTAGGGCTTCGGGTTTAGTGCTCCAGCATGCGTGTACAGACATGGGCTGTGGTTTGCTTAGGGTTGAGATGTTCTTGAACGTCCCCTCCGTCTCGCAAGATCCTAGAAGCAGTGGGGTTTAGGAATTCGGGTTTGGGGTTTAGCGTTTTGAGTCTGAAAGTGACTCGTGCTTGCGGTACCGAGCATCGCGCAGTCCAAGTTTAAGACACAGCCAGGCGGCAGAAGGCGAGTGAAATCTTGCGTAGTGCCGTTTTTTTTACAGATTGCTGTGGTCTTCCATGACATTCTTGTTTGCCAGTGCAGGTCTGTGGCCCTAAGCTTTCAAACTTTCAACCCCCCAATCAGGCAAAACTTTACCCTGTTCGGAGCAACAAGAGCACAGGGACAAATCGGGCACAAGGCGCCATGCCAGAACAGCAGAAAACTTCGGGCCCCGTGACGCCGATTGGGGCTTTGGGTTTCATGAAGAAGCCTTACAATAGTTACGGAAAATATCATTGTAGCGCAAACTCTATTCTAGTTCTTAAGGCCTTTATGTCAGGGGTTAAGGCTCAGGGTGTTTCGGCTTTGCGTAGCTATGGGCCGAGGGAGACAGCGCAGTAGAAGAAGAAAGCTGTACATGGTTTAGGGTTTTGGGTCTGAGTGCAATACACCCCGCCGAAACCCAAGCTGCATAGAGTCTGACATGCGTGACTGAAGACTGAAGAATCTCTCTGAAACCTGGAAACGGGGGTAGAACTTTTCTCGGCACGGGCTGCACGAACCGGAAAGTCAATGCCCGTGATCCCCCTGTCCGCGCCGTACGACCGTGATCCCCCCATCCGCG